CATTTTTCGATCCGCAATATTCATCTGCCTTTTATGGACATTTATTATTAAATACAGTTATTTCTTTCATTTCTTCAATGCGGTTTATTTCTCCAGTAATATGTGGACAATGAGATGGGGGTGGATTTTCAATTTCCAATTATATTAAAAAAAGGAAAAAACAAAAGGTCATTTTTTTTTGAACGATTCAGAATCCTCTGGAAAATCTCCCCCCATGATTCCTGTGTGAGAGTCAACATATCGATCATGAGTCACGTATAATTGAATCTAATTATGCGAACTTTTGTTTTCATCATTTTTATGCAAGATGAAGTCAGCTCCAAAGTTGTAGTGCCACGTGTTATGAAACACTCCATATAAATGTGCACGAGGATGGATATCGCTGACGGTTTCAACTTAAACCGTTCAGTCGTTTCTGCGAAACGAAACGGCTAACCGAGTGCGCAAACTGCTGCGACGCACTAACGATTGCACGTTTGTCATTCTGCCAGAAATTCGTCGTCCTTCGTTGCACCAAATATTGCGCGTACATTTCCGGCGAGCTTGCGCGAAAGTAAATCAAGCCGGAAGTGAACGATCGTGCCAAATTAAGGTGCAAACGGATCTTTATAAAATAATGACGTCAGTGTATTTAAAAAAAAGATTATGCAGAAGGTACAGCTCATCGATTTTAATTGTCTTGACGATATAAAGATCGTCGTCCTGAGTAGTTTCATATGTGTATGTTACGGGCAAAGTAAAATCTCATTTTAGAATACGAAAGTACAATTTGCAACCTAAAAGTATTATTAACATATTTATGCACTTCTACTGATTAGTTATATTTTTAGATTTGTTATATTTGATTAGTTATATTTGTCTATGAATTTAGTTTGAATTGTTTAAGTTTCGTTTTTGAGAAAAAGTAGCAGACTCACTTTATGCTGAAATTGGTTAATTTTTTAAAAGGAAGGTTATTTTAAATTGTTGAAGTATGTAAAAATTACTGCAAATTTAATATTTGAATGCTTGGGTTACAAATTGTTGATAAAGTTTAAGTATTTATCTAAGAAAAATGAAATAGGCTTTCGGAGTACAGTACGGGGTGTGTAGATTCACTGCGCATGCGCTGTATATACCACGCGCATGCGCATTAGATACTTCTTTACTAGGAGGCATTTCAATTACTTTCTTTCGACAAATAACTTAAACTTTATCAATATTTAAAACTTTAACAATGGAATAATCTATAAAAATGAATGTTTCTTTAAAAGCACGCAACAAATTACAAAGTAGCGTTAATAAATAATAATTTCTAAGTCTCTAAACTCCAATATTCCAAATTATTGAAATCAAAATCCCCAAAATTACCAATTCTCCAAAACCCATCATTCAAAAATCAAATACTGAAAATTCCAAAGATCCAAAGACGCAAAATTCTGAAAATTTCATCGTATAAAAATGTAAAACTCAGAAAGTATTGAATGAACAAAATATGAGACAAGTACATTAAAATTGACATTTCAATCATCCATATTGAACAGTAAAATTATTGCGCAGCATAAAAATAGTGATCTAATGGGCGTGGTGAACGTGAACAATTGCAACGGAATGTGAAAGATGCGAGATTACGAAAGTTATACTTACCGGTTCGTGATGTATCTCTTCCTGGAAATTCCTTGCAATGCGTTTGAAGTTGTCATCACTAAAGTCACTGATCATTTGCAGTCTGCAGAAAGTATACAGTATATCGCTATTTGAAGGGGAATATGTGTTCGTTGTGTACATTGTTCAGATTAAACAACATGGACGTAAAGACAGGAATTATGCATTAACCCATTGTTACACGATGTTTCCAATTAAAAAAGTATGCATTTTTTAATTCTCATGAATAGCGAGAAGCCTATTAGCTTCACGTAGCACAGACAGATTATAAATTCTCGTTACATTGCCACGGATTCTCATTGTATTATGCGCAGTCACAAAAACAAAAGAATGTAGACTCTCGTTATATGGCCGTAAAATCGAATTGGTAATTTTGGATATAAACATTGTTTTTTTAACCAGTTTTTTTAAAAAAGTAACAATTCTTTTACAAGTTGTATAAAGTCATTAAGTACGAAACTCGACAAATGTCGAAATGCAGACTAATATTTATTATCTCGATGTTTGGCGCCAAATTCAAGTGTTAGGTTAGGTTAGTTTGATAGATAGCGTCGTCGCTCTTTATTTGCCATAGTTCTGCGTCATAGCATCTATATTAGTTTTATTGACCTATTTTTGGAATTATAAATAGAATGTCTATTAAATTCGACATACTTCTAATAGTCTATTATTCAGTTCTAATGTGAATTCAGAACGCATTCAATTCCTACTGCAATCACTTCTTTATTTTGTTCTTCATGTATCTAAATCTCCGTTTAACTAATAAATATTTGATAAATTTCTTATCGGGTAAAATTAACTAATCAGTAAATTTATTATCCAATAAGATTAACCACTCAGTATAACTTTAGCACCCAATAAGATGAACTAGTAAATTTATAATCCAGCAAGACCATCCAATTTTCGTCTCCAGTAAAATTAACTAGCCAGTAAATCCACTACTCAAGATTAACCAATCAGGAAGTTCATAGCAAAAAATTACAGAAGTTTCGCAAAAATTATATCCGAATATGATGAAATCAAATGTAACTCGTGTCCGCGACGCTTTTCGGTGAAAGACAAATGTTCGAATAAAGCATAGAGGAAAGTCGTTCGGACTAAAATCGGAATAAGGGCAAGATAACGAAAGAAGAGACGAGTTCCCCGCAATTTTGACGTCAGGCTGGCAACGTGCCATACCCTCCCGTGGCTCATCTCAGCGGCGAGCGAACGTGGGAGTGGAATTTTCTGATTCTCACGAGCCTTATTTTGGGATCGGCTCGTTCAGTCGCCCGGAAGCGGGACTTACAAATTTGGAGCGTTGGCCCATTTTTTTTACGTGGTTCCACTGGTCTCTGGCTCAACCGAATTTGCTGGCCAATTCTTGGAAACCGGTCTTTCCTTCACGATCGTTTCCTTGGCTTCGATTTTCCTTCAACGAGGCGCTTTTTTATCAACAACATTTTACGGGAATCGAAGACGAAAACAGATATGAATTATTAAGCCTTCATTCGATATGTGGGTTATCGAATGAAGGCTTAATTATCGTAGCTATGTTTTTACATTTAGGGGTGAGTGTAGTGCGCTCTTCTTATATTGTCGGAATATGGAGATTTTCAGACTCTTGTTATATTGCGGAAATATGGAGATTTTCAGACTCTTGTTATATTGCCATGTTATACGTTCGTATTCAATTTCTAAAACTTGAATTCAATTTTTATATTATTAAATTCTTGAAGTTTTTCAATTTTTAATTTATTAATTTTCTAAATCCCTTTTTCCAAATCCTTCAATCCTCAAATCTTCAAATCCTCGATTCCCTAAATCCTCAAGTACCGAAATCGTCAAATTCCCAAAAACCCAAATGTCCAAATCTTTAAATTCCCAAATCCCTAGATTCTCAAATCCCTAAACCCCCAAATCCCTAGATCTTCAAATCTCTAGATCTCCAAATCCCCAAATCCCAAAATCCCAAAATCCCCAAATCCTCAAGTCCCAAAATCCCCAAATCCCTAAATCCCCAAATCCTCAAATCCCCAAATCCCCAAATCCCCAAATCCCAAAATCCCCAAATCCCCAAATCCCTAAATTTCAATAAATTCCCCAAATCCCCAAATCCCCAAATCCCTAAATTTCAATAAATTCCCCAAATTTCCTAATTTCTCAGTCTCCAAATTCTCCAATTCCAAAACTATTGAATACCCCACCTTCTGAATTCTCAAATCTCCAAAAACACTGCAACCCCCTAAATGGCAATATAACGAGACTCCCCTATACTACACTTCAGAATACCCACCCCTTTCAATGCACCCAAAACAACCCCAATCAGATCGCTTTAAAAACAAATTCAATCAAAGTTGAAACGAGCGCAATTTCTAACTGAAGTTTATCCACGAACGGAAGGAAGTTAAACGATCCTGTGGCAGACGGAAGGTCTAACAACGGATGAGAGCGTAGTTCCGGCAAATCATTGATATACGAATTCGTAGAACTGTCGGAACAAATTTCAATGTTGCAAGTTGCAACAGGGTTCGGCACGAAATCATTGAGATTCCTGAACTAGTCGACGGAATCCGTGTAAAGGCGATCGGCAGGGAACGAATCGGTACAAAATCGACCTCCCGATGGAAAAGAAAGAAGATATTCCCCGTGCGTCAGGATTTGCTCTGGAATCCCGTTCGGTAATTCATGGAGGCAAAATCGTGCGATCCGATGTCTCTTCCACGAAAAGGGACGTTCTTGGACGAAAGCACGAGTTTGTCGTTTAGTGGCGTATATAATGGCGGCGCTTTGTTCTCGATTCTACTAATTCTTTCTTCTCTCCCCACTTATACCACGAACACGCTCTTTGTCGCTTTTCTTGTCCAGAAATTGAGGAATTAATGTATTTAGTAACATAAATTATATACTTGGTATGCTAATAATGAACAGCGATAACGATAGTAATAAAGAGTTCGCAATAAGGAGTTTGCAATAATAGTAATTGCATGTTAATACTGATAACATGATGTCAATAATATCAGTACCAATAACGGTACTAATCATGGTAACAATAGTGATAATATGTTAACTAATGTTAACAATAATATCGCTAATAACAATGGCGATAGCAAGAATATCGACAACAAAATGGCAGTGCCCACATATTGCAACTGACTGTAATTGTCAACCTACTCCATTCAGATAAATGTTAAGATTATAAAAAAGATCTCACCATTTCAAAAATTGTTCAGAAACGTCCATTGTCCACTGGACTTAGAACCCGATCAGTGACTGAACGATGAATTCACCGTCGTCGAAAGCTGGATCCTCTGAAAAAACTGCGAAAGAAAGAAAGGAAGGTAGTGGGGTGCAGCATCAATCGCACGCGTCTGGTGAACCGGAGGGAACGAGAAATCGTCAAAGGGAGCAAAAAAATATCAGGCTCTGCAGCGGGGGGGCGGGACGAGAAGATCTCCTCCATTCAGCGGGCAGCACATACGATTTCCAATCGACAACCGCTTCCTCGAAACGGATGCCCCTTCTGTGAGATCCTAAACGACGCCACTGGAGGAGACCGCAGCCTGGAATACTGGTTCTAACCGTGGCTCCATTCAAGTGTTCTTACAACCGTTGGCATCCTTCGTCTACTCGCCAAGAAACTCCTTGATATTCCGTTGATGCACCGATCCAGTTCCCTCTTGATACGGATCGAATAGAATCACGAAAGTTTGGGACTTGCTCGATTGTTGTTGGTGTCATGATCCCAATTTCCCTTGGGATGAAAGGAAATTTTTCTTCTTTTGGATTTTATCAGGTTAAATATGAAGTATTAAATTTTGGTTAATAACAGAAGGTTACTCAGACTTCTAGTAGTAGACTCTCGTTATATTGCCATTTTCATAGGGCTATGAAAAACAATGTGTCAATAGTAATGGTCACTGAATTCCTGAACATAACATAACTACATGCTTCCACAGTATCAAAGAAAACTAATCCTCCCCATATATTGCTAAGTGGAAAGCCTCACCGACAATCTGCAGCAATAAGAGTCTGCAACTACCAGAACTACTACTCGAATATATTAAGAGTACTATGACAGATAACCACGTGAAAATGATTCATCCTAGTAAACGAACAAAAAATTGAAAATACAGCCAACCTGACACGCGTAATTTCCGATCCCCCAAAAAAATCATTTCTTATTTCCCTGCCACCTATATCATTAATCAGTTGAATTGCTCGATTGAACCAAGGAGGACGGTATACGATAAAGTATCTGGACGAAGTAGACGAGCGTAAAAATAAAAAGTACAACGTTACTTTATGCTCGTAAATATAGGCGGGGCCATGTGGATGAAGGCGAAATGTTGTGCTGTCGGGTTCCCAAGAAGGCCGTACGAGGAAGAAAGGGTGACAGAGGCAGCGCGCGGCGGTTAGGCCAGGAAAGGACGGTAGAAGGGGCCCTGCTTCAGGCCCCACTTCTTTCTCTTAGGAGTTCCTTCAGGTCCCACATTACATGGACATAAAAGGCAACCCCGACACGAAAACCGTCTCTCTGACACATTGACACAGCCTCTGAACCAGCTACGTGTTCCCTCCTACCTTTCTCGAGATTCTCTTTTTCACCGATGCTGCCCGGAATCATCCGTTCTGTTCTTCGTTTCCGTTCGGCCTCCTGTCCGATTCAATATCGCTCTTATCCGACGATCTCTGTCTGCCCGATGCGTTTTTGCCAGCCATCTTCTCTCTTCGATAATGAGATCACGAGGCTTTTTTAGCGGGTCGCTTATGGGACTATCCCCGTTTCAAGGAACATTTTCAACAGATGCACCTTTCTAGGGATAAACTTTTACTAGCATTACTTTTGACTAATTTTCGGTTAAAAAAATAAGGTACATTCGTTACAGCAATATTGGGTAATATAATGAGAAGGTGGAATAATGTGGGTAATATTGCTCACAGCGATATAACGCGAGGGTGAAATAATAGCTGTTCAAACCCTACGTAGGCAGACAATTTAAGTATGTAGAATAATAGCAGTTAATTTTGAAAAGATGAAAAATTTTAATTACTGAAACTTAATGTGTAACCCTGGCGTCGAACTCGCTTGAAAGAGCAGAAATTGCCGAGAGCCATTCTCTAGAACAGAATCATTAAATCATTGAAATATCAAGTTCAGTGGTGTGCGTAAAGTACGTGATCGGTTGAGAACCGGCATCAGAAGGAGAAAGAGAAAAAGAAGAAGAAAGAAAAGGAGGAAGAAAGGAAGGCAGGTGAGGCAAGGTGAGATACGAGGTTGGCCGGTCTGCGAGGTTTAATCACCTAACGAATAAAAAGCATGAATGGACGCTAGCACGACGCCGTACATTATCTTGCCTCCTTGTCTCTTTATTATTATTCTCTTGGCCCTTTTTATCATCCCACCTTTTACCGAACGCCGCTTCTCCATCCTCTCTGTCTCTTCTCCTTTATTCTCGTTTCTTCGCTTCCCTTTCTATCGTACGCGCGTACTTTGCAACGGTCTTATCTTCCTCTCTCTCGATATCTGCTTCTCTTTCCCTTGGCTGGTTTCTCTTGTCCCCTCGTTTCAATATCCCGCTTGTTCCACAGGGAGATCCGCCATCGCGAGGGAGACACCATCGTGTACTGATGAGATCGTGTAACCTGTTCCTACGGGCGGTGTGTACAACCATGCTTAAGCTTTCGCGAGAGATCTGGAAAATTCTTTGAACTTGATCCATTCCCATAAACTTTATCTCGGAACTGAACGCGGTTTCCTTCCTGGAAAAGTACACATATAGAGACCACACAGATACACGAACATTTATTCCACCATTATTCTACTTGTAATATTTTGTTAATATTTTATTATGTATTCAAATTTGTTACTGTTAGGGTTAGGTTAGGTTTGATTTAAAGAAGAGTTAATTTGTTAGATTAGAATTAGAGAAAGGTTAGGTTAGAATAAGATAAGAGTAAATTTAGGTTAGGTTGGGTTAAGGTTAGAATTAAATCAGTTAAGACCGTGTTAAGTAAGGGTTAGGTTGAGTTAGGGTATGCCAGACTAGGTTAGGTTTAAGTTAGAGTTAAATTATAAGTTAAATTAAATAAGTTCAATAAAAATGAAGTTTGATATAGTAAAAGTTAGGTTGGGATTAGAATTAAATCAGTTAAGACCGTCTTAAGTAAGGGTTAGGTTGAGTTAGGGTATGCCAGACTTGGTTAGGTTTAAGTTAGAGTTAAATTAGAATTAAAATAGGGTTAGGTTACAGTTCGACAGAAGTTTGATAAAGTAAATGTTAGGTTAAGATTAGAATTAAATCAGTTAAGACCGTCTTAAGTAAGGGTTAGGTTAAGTTAAGGTATACCAGACTAGGTTAGGTTTAAGTTAGAGTTAAATTAGAATTAAAATAGGGTTAGGTTACAGTTCTACAGAAGTTAAGTTTGACAAAGTAAAAGTTTTGTTAAAGTTATGTTACAGTCACGTTATCTTTATATCATAGTTAATTAAGTATTAAGTGACTGTTTGGTCAGTGTTACGTTAGTGTTAGGTTAGTCGAGGTTAGGTTAATTATCCCATGATAAAATATTTCTATAACTTTTCACGATCAATGTGAAAGTCGAGCTTACCGTTCATATCCTAGAAAACGCATACGAATGCGACTATAAATCCTGGGGGAAGAAAATTACACGTCTGTAGTAACATAAATTACAAGTTATCGCCGTTATTGAACAACGTATCGATCCAATAAGCATGGAATTAATCACGCGCACCCGTATGTATTATTTATTAATTTTGCACAATATCCGCTGGCAGGGAAAAACGTTTGAATGAAATGCAATTTCACCCACGCAACATGATAAAGAACAAAGCAGCAACGCGTTATCAATTATCGCGTCCGGTTTATTACTTTTTTTCTACTTTTTTTCATTGGGACGTAGGAATACGAGAATTAGAAATAGGTACGTTATCGACAATATAATAGTAACACTGCTTTACTGAAATCGTTCAAACGTTCAGTACTTTGGTTCTCTTTTATTTAAGATTGCTTTTATTTCTTCTTGATTTACGGTTCTTTAAATTGCTTTTTAAAGTTGGATCAATTCTCTGTACCAGATATTATCGAGAGATACAATTGTTATCAATAATATTTTAATTTTTTGGTTTGCTAATAAAATTGCTATTTAGCAATTGTTTTAAGAGCATTTTTAAATTTTGTCGAAACAACTTGGATCAGTTCTCAGATATTCAAGAGATACAATTATTATCAACAACATTTTAATAGTCGGGTTTGTTAATAAAATTACTATTTGACAATTGTGTCAAGAAAATTTAAAAATTTTCTCAAAACACATTTAAAAGCAGCAAATGCGAAATTCCGAAATATTCTTCTACTTAAGCCGAATCTACGAGCAAAGCTCCCCATAAGAGGCAAGTTTCCTCTACAATTTCAAGCAAAGGAAAAAGGAAACAAAAGTTTCCATGTTCCAAGGAAGATAAAAATCTCAGTCGACTCTCTTAGCCGATTTCGTATTCCCGGTAAGGCGGTTGTTCCGTCTCGAAAGAAATCACTGACAAAGAGGCCGCAGCCGTCTCATCACAGTCTAGAAGGCAGGTAGTTCCCGGAAAAATTTCAAGATTTTTCCGGGATACTTGCCGTAAAGCCAGCTTAGCGAGAGGTCTTTGTCTTGGCCGGTGCATAGCATCTGCGAAGCGAACCGAACAACCCGCTTTGCGTCCCGAGAAAACGAAGGTTCGAACCAGGTATATAGCAGAGAGTACGAAGAATAAAAGGAGGGTTTGATGGCAAAACAGGGAGAGAAGGTTCCGAGGAGAACCTGCCGTCCCTTCTGACCCGATCGCATAATTTACTGTTCGAATCCCTGACCGAGGCCCTAACAACCTAAACGTTGTTTAAAGAGACGTACAGCTTTTACGAAAATCGGAAAGCTGACAAATACCTTTCTGGTAGTGTCGTTAATTATTAGCACAGGTACTGAGAAATTATGCACAAATTTATGCAATGAGTGTCGTAAAAGATGGTAATAAATATTCTTCTAAAGTTGGAACTAAGAGCCATTTGTGTGAAGGTAACTTAAAAATCTAGAGGTTAATGTATTCTGTTAGGTGGATGGTATCTTACAAAAATTAGGAACAGTCATAGAACAATTAGTACAGAAAAGGAAAAGTTATAAATGTTATTCCTGTTTCAGCCTTAAAAAACACTTATATTGACATAAACTAAAAATCTCTAGTTTGTATTACTTATTGGTTAATTCAGTGTATTATATGAACATTATCTTACAACAGTAAAGAACAGATAATTTATAGAATAACTACTGCAAAATTAGGGAAAGCAATAAATATTATTTCAAATGCAACTTCAGCTTGCATCAACATAACCTAAAAAACTTTATTTTACTAGTTCCTACTCAATCCAATATAGTAAACTATATTGCTACTCTTAAAAAATAAGAGATTGCAGCATAAGTCAAATCTTATCAGACAGTAGATTGATTATGCTATAATCTTCCTTATCCTCTTATTTGCAAATGACTCTACCAAATTACGATGCGTCATCTGCCTCCTTGTCAACGATAACTGTAAATGATATAGCTCCATGATCTTACATACAGTATTATATATTATCACCGATAAATGCATCAATACTTCAGAAACGATTAGACTAAAAAAAATTAGCGATATATTGTATCGACCAATTTTATCAGTGAACATTACGGGGGAATCCCAATCGACATATTTATATTGTAGGTTATTAGTGCTTTTTTTAACCGTACTGTGTATTTCTGTAATCTTATGGATTTTGTAGATGCATTAAACATCTATTTAAATAGTTATGATGTACTGACGACTAATGTTGACGTATGCAGAAAAATGCTTGAAAAAAATTTGGAAAAATTAAGATTAATTTACTTAAATATTCTTTACGCCTACGTAGCAAAAATTTGAATATCAAACATAAATTCTTCCGAAGTGAAATTTCTAAAAAATCGAAAAATTTAAAAAGAGACCTAAATTAATTTTACTACGCGTGTCCAGTAAGATGGCAGATCGAAGCAATTAACACTATTACTTCAGTCAACTTATCAAGTAAAATAGTTTGATGGTATTATTATACAAAGTGAGTAATGATACCAAGTACCCACCAAAAACAGAAAAGTTATAATTTGCTCGTATTACTTATCCAACAACTTGTAATTAGAACTGGTCGATATTTAGAGACACATCGTAGGAACGAAGTAAATCCACGTAACATCTGTCGCTGAATTCGTATTCCTCTTATAGAAACGCTACAATACAAATAACGTCAAGAGCTTTCGCGGATGCTGGTGAAATATTCAAAGCAACATCCTACGGATCCTATTTTCGTCCTGGCATCGTTCTACGTTTCTTCCGCGGAATCCGTTGAACTCCGTTCTCGACTCTCGCCAACAGGATAATTGGACAGCGAAATGACACGCGACAGGTGACACAGGAACTCGAACCGATTCAGATAATTGTTCGAACGCGGAAATGCATCATAAAAATTCATTGAACCAACCCCAATTTACCGAACTGATTCCTCAAAAAAAAATTGTTACCATCCTACTAACTTTATGGCTGTGCTTTATAATATGAGTGATTTTCAGAATTTTAATTATTGATGGTGGTGTTAGGAAGGTTAAGACAGTTTTATTGTACAATATTGCAGTTCGAGAGGTTCATCAAATATTTATAACAGTGATACTTTGACAGGGAAATTAAGATGCATTATTAATTAAGATACACTTAAGATCTACATGTAATTGAAGAAATCGCCAGATTCATTATCTTTGAAAATTTTATTGAAAAGTTTGTACATACCTTTTCTGCATGATTACCGCAGAATGCAAGGATATTTTTATCACTTTAAAAACGCATCGACTTCCGTTACTTCTACTTCATAAATTCTTCGATCAGTTTGCTGCAGAAAATAAAGAAGGTCCATCAGGTAAATCCTTCAAGCAGAGCCGGCGCCATTTTGCACCCCGAAGTAAGCATATTACTGCGTCCTCGCGTTTACTAATTATACTCTTTTAAATCAAAATTATAACATCAAACAAAAATAATATAAATTGTATTATTTATTATGAATTTCATTTGTTGTCAATTGCAAATGTTATCAATTATATATCAAGAATTAATGAAAGCAGGCTGTCGATAGCTTTTCGCAGGCAATTAAGAAGACCTTACTATAAATTATAATTTATTCGCAAATAGAGGAAAATCAGAAAATGTACGCATTTAAGCGAGAGCGATTACTGCGTCAAACACCTAACAATTAACATAAATTAAAAGATCCTTATAAATGAGTTAATTAGTATATCTTAAGTATATGTAAAGTAATAGCTGATAGATACAAAAGTGTAATAGCATAGTCCGTAAAAAAATGGCATTTACTAATGGACATTGAGTTAATTTAGTAAATAGATGTATTTCAAATCGAACTGCAAATTACCTAGTGAAATGGATATTAATTATTATTAATCACTTCATTTGTATAACATTGTACTAATAACATGGTAGACACATTAATGTTTACATGACAAAAGAGTCTTCCTGTATCGCCAATTTCATTACAACCACTCGTTAATTTGATCACATCTAAAACTTTTATCGTTTCTTGTAGGCACTATCACTCTCGCCATCAATATTGCCGATGGTTAAATCATATCTGACATTTGTGCCGATTTAATCCGGCTACCGAGATACGTACTTACAAGTTTCTTAGAAAAACAAAGCAACAAAAAACAACAAGAGGCGCCGATTTGCGTCATGATCGTTAACGACTGTATGACGATTCTGTTGAAAAAAAAGCGCAGCATTGCTCGCCATTCAAGTAAACTCCGCGAACAAAACTAAAATGGCGTAAGAGACAACGGGATAGCTGATAAGGCTACTAAAGAAGCTGCTTCGTTATCAGTAAACAATTAGATGCTCGAACTTCGATAGATTCGCGACTGACGATACTCTCTGTGAATTGTGAATTTCGCAAATTAAAATCAGAATTTTTGGGTGATCTGCATTTGGAAGATAATTTATGGTATTAGAATAGTTTCCTCGACAATTTCATAAGGTTTAAAACCAGAACTTTGAGGTTAGGTTAGCTTATCTTGTGATTGAGAGATTTAAATTTGGAAGGTAGTGATGTGTTAAATAACAGAATTGTGAGCAAAATTTCTTTACAATTCCACAGAGTATTAAAATAGGAATTTTTAGGTTGGGCTTATCTTGTGATTGAGAGATTTGAATTTGGAAAGTACTGATGTGTTTAATAACAGAATCGTGAACAAAATTTCTTTACAATTCCACAAAGTATTAAAATAGGAATTTTTAGGTTAGCTTATCTTGTGATCAAGAAATTTAAATTTGAAAGGTAGTGATGTGTTAAATAACAGAATTGTGAACAAAACTTTACAATTGCACAAAATATTAAAATAGGAATTTTTAGGTTAGCCATCTTATAGATTGAAAGAGATTTAAAAGATGATAACGATCATACTGCCGATTGTATCTTAAATAAAGAAATCTCTTTACAGTTTCACAATGTTTCCGAATTTTCAGGTTAAGTAGCGAGCGGCAGAGAAAAATTTGAAGGGACCATTGATCATGTTGATAGGACGTTAAATAGAGGAAAATAAAATGGAGGTGCAGATAACGTTAGATATCAATGGAGAATAAATAGGCTCGAGATATCTCTCGATGTGCCAAACGACAAGCTTATCTGCACATCTGAGCTTATCTGTAGATGTAACGGTTGCCTGTGTTCATTGTTTTCCTCCATGTAAGGCTCGGCTTCTCAAAAATGATTGATAAATTGCAAAGGTGAATGCGAACATGTACGATCGATTTACTCGATCAATTGAACCGATGTGACATTAAGAGTATACTCTTTTAACAATAAGGACTTCAAATGACAGATGAAATGTCAGGACTTTTGTCATCATGCACTTTAGAAGCTGCGTCAGGATTTTAATGACGTAAAATTACATCAGCCTTATCCGTGACATTTGCGACGAGGTTTAGTATTTTTATCAGGGTTAGGTTTCTGTATTTTACAATTTGCAAACTTGAAAATTTGAGCACGCCAAAATCTCAAATTTCTAAAACTTTGTAAAATAGCTTTGTAAAACAAGTTTGTAAAATAGTCACGAACAAATGATAAAGGTAAATTTAAATGCTTGAAATGTACATAAACAAAAAAGGGGGATTACCCGGATCATTTTTGCAACAATAAAATTCTTTAAAATATAATATCTCGTTGGAAAGAAATCGTGTTATCTTTCGAGTGTTGAAGCTCGAATTAATATCTTTGTTGACTCGTTAAATATATACCATACATATAATAATACGAAATTTTCTGGCAAGACGACTAATTAAAGCACCGGTTAATCAAAAGTTAGAAGCACTACGCAAACATGCATATACCCACGTATCTTCAGCGTCTGTTCGAAAGTATATTTCTGTCATCGTTTCTGAAGTTTCGCAACGCGATAACGCATCTGCGTGACAAATGCTCGTCATCGTTCTGGTGAATCCTCTTCTCGACCTCGCTGTTTATAATCGTCGACTCTGAAAAAATTTGCGAAAACAATTTTACGTCTATGTACGCTCGTTCGAAATTATTTGAAAACATATTTTCATGAAAACAAGTTAAGAAAGATTTATATATTCAAACCTCTCGTTATATTGCCTATTTACGGTAATACGAGTTTGAGGATTATTCTATATTTTAAATAATACACTTCGTGTAAGATAAATTTAAAAATAATGCTATCATTTTTTCTTTCCTTTTTTAAAGTTGGACAGTCCGAGCAAGGTTACGTAATAATTTCTTATCGAAAGTTGCTAAATGGAGTATTTTATAACCTTATTTTATGATATGTTCTTGTGACTTGTTAGAGTATTACCTTCTAATGTTATAGTGTGTCTATAAACCTGTAACTTAGGTAATATAACAGTATGGTAATATAACAAAATTGTAACAGTGTGTTACAATTTTCTCTTTTTATGTTTATCAATTTTATAATATATTACTTTCTGTATAACAAAAAGATATTTAACTTTATGTTTAACTTTAGACAGTCATCATTTTTTAATCTTGCTAATTATTATTAAATTTTTCTTTAAATAAACACAAAATTATTACATGAACAGTTCTGAATATTTGTGCTTAATTGCCTTAATCAACAATAAACAATTTTCAATAAAACACTGACGTCAAAGTGTAAACAATTCAAGTTTCCTAATCTTTATTGTTATACTCGGTTCATTGAGAAAATTTCAAGAAGAAATTTCAAGAAGATTGTTCAAATGTAAACACAGATTTGGGCGCGCGCTATTTAAAACATTCAAATTTCGCGCCAAGCGACAGGTGCAGCGTAAACGAAAGAATCTTCGACTCGAATTTCAACGTTAACCTTTTTATACGCTTAAGTCATCGAGTTGTTGACTTTCATGGAATTCGTTCGATAATAGAGGCGTGAGATTTGTGTGTAATACGACGTATCGTATCGAAGGTTCTTGCGAATTCAACGAGTGTTGTTGATTCGAACGAACGTATGTACTTGCGCGCGTCCGTGTGTGTGTTTGCGGCGTGACTCATCGAACGTATGAACGAGCAAAATATTCGGTACGTAGGCACTCGAATTGGAAGGAAAAAGAAAAAAAAGGTGCTGTAGTCGTGATTCACTGGCCGTATAATCAAAAACTGTCGAGACATCGAGAAACGCGTATGGCAAATAAAAATACGAATGTCGCCATTTTTGTCTTCTTTTGTAGAACCGTATTCGATGCACACGAATGTTCCTTTTAAGATGACTTACTTTGTTATTTATAAAAATGCAATATTGGAGGGGGAATATTAGGCTATGAATGTAAAGGTCATTTCGAGGTCATGTTCTGTTCTAAGAGATTTAGTGATCTTTTTATCCCAATGGTATATTACATTTAATAAAACTATAAGAGAAAGATATTTTGTTGCGTAACATAGCTGAATTAATACAATACTGAAATTCTTTTGTATGTGTTTGCCAATGAAAGACTATCACTGGGAATTACCCAAAACTTTACAAATATATATTAAGGAAAATCAATGACCAACGGTAAATAACCAGCCATATTACATCATATGTACTCAGTTTCCTCAAGTTTAACAATAAGTCATTAGAATAAAAGAACAACCACAAAATATAAGAACAAACAAAATAACAAGTTGACGTACATTTCTGGATTTACAAATAAAATTCTACAAAATCAGTGTAACATGTGCAAGAAATTTCAAAATCGATGACGCATTAGATAAATACTCGATTCGGACTTGTGAAATAATTCGAGATCCAAATCAGCAGGCTGATAATAGCGGCAGTACGAACAATGTTATCTCCAAATAATTTCGAGTATATCGAAAGTATAAAATAAAAAAAAAAGACGAATTTGTCCTGATACACGTGTACGGTGCATACATCATTTTACAACGTGAGCAAGGAATTTGTCTCCTGAAGGGGGACAGCTGGCAGGTGTACGAGAAAGAATCCATTCCACCTGCGGTTTTTAGCTTCAAGGTCCTCACGACGAGTAAGATAGGTGATCGATCGCTGGAGTTCGTCGACGTAACAAGTAAACAGTAGCACTGGTAATCGCAAACTTTTGGGCGGATGCTTACGTAAGCGTTCGAGGTGAGAAGAAACTTATCTTCGATGACAGGTTAAGATGTATACGCTTTCACGCGATGGTCAATTGTAGTCTGACATTTTCTTTGGGGTCTTCGAACCTTGTCTAATTACCTCAGGTACTCTTGGGTGAGGATTTCGTGAATAAGAACAGTGTTGTAAACTTTACTACTGTGGTCCCGAATTTCTGAACTTTAATTTTTTCAAGTTTGCAAGGTTTCTGAATGTACGAACTGGGATTTGAATTTTAAGTTTTGCAAAAATGTATTTGCTGAGGGATCTAATTCCTAGATCCCTACATCCCTAGATCCCCAAATCTCGAACCTTGTCTAATTACCTCAGGTACTCTTGGGTGAGGATTTCGTGAATAAGAACAGTGTTGTAAACTTTACTACTGTGGTCCCGAATTTCTGAACTTTAATTTTTTCAAGTTTGCAAGGTTTCTGAATGTACGAACTGGGATTTGAATTTTAAGTTTTGCAAAAATGTATTTGCTGAGGGATCTAATTCCTAGATCCCTACATCCCTAGATCCCCAAATCTCAAATCTCCCAAATTCCAAATTCCCCAAATTCCAAATCTCCCAAATTACAAATTCCCTAAATTCCACACTCCCCAAATTCCAAATCTCCCAAATTCCAGATTCCCCAAATTCCAAATCTCCCAAATTCCAGATTCTCCAAATTCCAAATCTCCCAAATTCCAGATTCCCCAAATTCCAAATCTTCCAAATTCCAGATTCCCTAAATTCCAAATCTCCTAAATTCCAAACTCTCTAGATTCCAAATTCTCCAAATTCCAAATCTCCCAAATTCCAGATTCCCCAAATTCCAAATCTCCCAAATTCCAGATTCCCCAAATTCCAAATCTCCCAAATTCCAGATTCCCCAAATTCCAAATCTCCCAAATTCCAGATTCCCCAAATTCCAAATCTCCCAAATTCCAGATTCCCCAAATTCCAAATCTCCCAAATTCCAGATTCCCCAAATTCCAAATCTCCCAAATTCCAGATTCCCCAAATTCCAAATCTCCCAAATTCCAGATTCCCCAAATTCCAAATCTCCCAAATTCCAGATTCCCCAAATTCCAAATCTCCCAAATTCCAGATTCCCCAAATTCCAAATCTCCCAAATTCCAGATTCCCCAAATTCCAAATCTCCCAAATTCCAGATTCCCCAAATTCCAAATCTCCCAAATTCCAGATTCTCCAAATTCCAAATCTCCCAAATTCCAGATTCCCCAAATTCCAAATTCCTCAAATCCCTAGATTTCCAAATCCTAAGTTCCCCCAAATCCCAAGACCCCCATATCCCTAGATTCCCAAATCCTAAGTCCCCCCAAATCCCTAGATTTACAAATCCCAAGATCCCCAAATTCCAAGATTCCCTGAAATCTACGTCCACAAATTCTCAGGGACTTTCCCAAGTCCCCAAATTCCTAGGCATTCAAATCTCAAAATCCTCAAACTCTTAAGCATTCAAATCTCTAAATTTTCAAATCTGAAAATCTCCAAATTTTCAAAACCTCACAAACCCATAAAAATTATGAAATGAAAGATATCTTCCTCTAACTTGTCATATTACCCTAGTCACATTTGTTCTCTACTACACACCACCCACATCAATCTCCCAGGTAATGATTTCATTCAAACTTTGAGCAGTTACAGAATCTTAGAAGTAATAATTCTGCACAATTACAGCGTCACCTGTTTCAAACGAGTAGAAATTAACGTCTAAAGTTTGTTAATTTCTAGTTAGCATTCGAATCATATCAAACATGTAATCCGTCATGCCTTACAATTAGTGATACGGCAATAACGTCAGACAAAATGATACAAATCTTCTACGTTTCGAAATCTTGACCTTTCAAATTTGCGAGCCTCTAAAAACTTGTCTGAGCGACAAGTCTCAGAATGTGATGCTGTAAATTTGATTATTGTTTAAGACATCTTTATGTTTAATCGCGTCATTAAACATAAGAAGCAGTGTTGCTAAAAAAATGGCGGTTTATGATCTCTGACCGATATGACAGAAAAAGAATCCTTGCTCGAACACTACACTGCAGCAAAAAGCAAATTGCATAATTTATAATTAAGCGTCGTAAAGCGCTTCAAAAGTAATTACCTCGAAATCATTTGATTATAGGCAGTGATTTATACTGCAGAAATAAGCATACTTATTTTGCAAAAATTGCAGTATGATTGAAGTTAATATTTAGGTAATATGATTGAAAATTAGAATCGTCTGAAGTGAGTATTCTTTTGCGAGTATTCGAATAAAATGGTGATAAAAAATTTGGTGTTCGAATTTGCACGAGAATCCATCGCTAACTACGATGGCGAAGAAGGGAAGAGAAGATGAAGAAAAGCCTCGACCGTTGATTGTCGGAGTCAACCGGTCAGGCCAGAAGGTTTCAGCTTGTGCTCGATCGGAGTTGTAAAGGAGTCCGACTGTTGTTCTCCTGAGACGTTAGGACATTCCACGAAATGCTCTGCTGTTTTACTCCTCCCAGCACTTTTCCCCTCTTTCCCACTTCTTCTTCTTCCCCACGCTGTTTGATCATCACGAGCCCCATAAGGAGGACGCCACGAGAGTAGTGATGGGTTTGAGCCGCCGTTAGGTCCACTTGTTCAAAATTTTATTCGAAACGGTGTGGACCGCCGTTCATCAAACTTGTATAACTACTATTCGTAGCAAGGTTTCATAAATCAATTAATTTAGGATTTTGCAATTAATTTTGAGGTTGATTTAGTATGTTAAAGAATAGAAATTGTACTGTGTAAAATTAACTAAACTTGTTAAGTAAAATTAATTAAACTTGTTAAGTAAAATTAATTAAATTTATTAAGTAAATTTAGCTAAACTTATTAAGTAAAATTGACTAAACTTATTAAGTAAAATTA